TTTTAATAACTCATTAGAAACACTTATCACTCGCTGCAAATCTAATTCACTGTGGACGCTGGTTACAAGATTGTCCACATAAAAACTCTTCAAAAGACAACTAGTTACAAAAGGATCAACGTCAGTATTTTGTTCAAGATGATACTTCAATACAGCTCCTAGTAGAAAAGGACTGCTGCGAACGCCAAAAACTACTCTGGTATGCCGAAAAAACCTGTAGTCTTTGCAAGCCTTATTTGTCCACCATAGAAATCTCAAGAAGTCTCTGTCTTCTCTACAGAGGCTAATTTGCAAAAAGGCTTTCTTTATGTCTGCGATTACACCAATCTTCTTTTCTCGAAAACGCAGCAAAATATCAGGAATGAGCTCAATCAAGTTTGGACCACTATGTAAGGAGTCATTTAGTGACGGATGTCCTTTGATTCGAGCAGATGCATCAAAAACCGGACGAATAGGAGTTGTCTTACTAACTTTGATAACAGGTCTGTGAGGTAGATAATTAGCGGGCAAATCTTTATCTTCAATTGGTACTTCTTCAATAATTCCTTCACGCAGCTATTTGGAAAATATGTCCTCATAACAATCGTACAAATTTTCCTGAAATAACTTCTTGGTTGTGGTGTCTAACCTTCTTTTAGCTTGTTCAAAATTATCAGGTAAAGGCACACAGTTATCTAACCAAGGCAAATGATCTTCATAGCGATTATCTTCATTGTACCTAACAGTTTGAAGAAAATTTTCAGTAGTCAAATCCTCTTGCTCTTTTTAGACAGCTTTTCAATAGGATCCTTGATTCCAATAGAATCCAGTTTCCAGAAGTCCGAAATGTCAAACTCTTTAGCGAAAAGTGATGTCACTAACATGGCATTGCTTGTAGTAACTTTACTATCAGGAACTTTCCCTAACAAAGTCTACCACCAGTCTCAATGGCTACTAATCCGCATGGTAAGACCCTACGCTGACCGATTAAAATCTTTCCAAAAAGATCAGCTCCTATAAGTACTTGTACAGGTTGTGGCTTTTCTCCAACATCACTTAATGTTATATCCCTTTCTTGAAGCTCTTTTAACCAAGGCCCGGAGTTCACAGGTGATACATCATTACAAATAGCTACCTGATCCAAAGCTTCAAAGTTGCATGCAAAATTGTTCTTAATATTTTTCAACCTAATTCTGTAACATGTATGTACAAATTCTTTCGATTTAATCCCACCAAACAGTGAATGTACCAGAGTTTCTTTCTTTACAGGAACGTATCCCATTTCTTCGGCAAGACTCTTTACAATATAAGACTTTTGCGAGCCGGTGTCCAGAACAATTCGCACGATTTTTTCTTTTTTATCTGATATGAGCTTGCACTTTAGAGTCTGTAAAAACACTTTAGGACCCACACTCAGGTTGGACATGTTGACCTCGTTGAAAACTTCAGCTTCTTCCGTCTTCTTGAAATCATTTTTTCTTGACTCGTTTGTTTCGCACATCAAGGGAACATGTTTCTTCCCGCAAATTACACATCTCAAAAATGAACGACATTTTCGGACGGGGTGACCGGGAGCCAGACAGGCAAAACAACAATTTTTTCCCCTCAAAATCCTTTGTTTTTCATCTAAACTCATTTTTTGTGCAGAAAAACAGTCTGCACTGGGATGAGTTTTCTCACAAAACACACATGACTTTTTGGTTTTATGAGTATGTGGATTGGTAAAAAGACCGGAAGTGGTGGGTGTTTTATTTTTTTTTACTCTTGGTTCAAATTTCTTATTTCTAAACTCAATATTGTCTTTCTTTTTGTTTAAACCGAAACCTTGCATCGCCAAACAAATCCTTTCTTCTGATTCTACTTCAGATTCTAAGAATTTTAGTAAGCTACTAAGCCTTTCTTGTGGTTCGCCACTATAATTGAAATCAGGACCTCTTTGCCTTTGCCATGCTCTTAGTATATCTTCCGGTAAGCATGACTCAACCAAAGGATGAAGTAGAGAAGCGCTTTTATCCGTTGTTACGCCAAGTGTCTCTAATGCCCTAATCTGAGACTCCAAATGGTCATACAGCGTACATAAATTAACAGTCGAACTTTGCGATGCGTTTTGTAAAATCAATTTTAAAAGCTCGTGGACATAGAATTCTATAAGTAAATCAGTTCGACCACAACGTGATTTTAAAGATTCAACAGCTTTGGCGTAGTTGGCGCCGGTGGGTGGAAAACTTTCCACTACCTCCCGAGCGCGTGAGCCGCTAACGGTTGCTTGCACTAAATACTGAAATTTATTTTCTGGTGCTATATCAACATCATTATGAACATGTTCGAACTGGCTCCAAAAAGGCAACCAGTCCTTTAAATCTCCCGAAAAATGGCGTAATTCTAACTTAGGTAAGTGAAATTTCTTTTTTACACTACCTGACTCTGGAGTTTGATCATCTAGAGTATCTAAAACTGTCCGGGAGTTTAATCTCGTCAAATCCAACTCATGTTGTCTTTGTCGTTCTCTTTCTTCTTCTTGGCGCTTTCTCTCTTCTTCTTGGCGCTTTCTCTCTTCGTCTTGGCGATTTCTCTCTTCTTTTTTCTGCCTTTCAGAAACAGTTGTGGCTAGTACGGTTGAAACAAAGTCCGGATCATTTTTATATTCTTTACTGTTTAAAATTACATCTTTCAGTGTAGATATGGTAACCTTCAACGGTAAGTCCTCATTGATCTCTTGACACAAATAAATTAGGTCTTCTTTCTTGAAGCCTTTAACAGATGTAAACATATTGACACTTAATGATCCTGTCGCGGACGCCAGATATCGTAAAAATAAAAATAAAAAGTTTCTTGTATTGAAAATTAATACTCCAAACTATTAATACTGCCAAATCTCATTTATTTCACAAATTAACATGCCAACTAGAGTCCAAGACTCACCTAGTTATAAACAATTTTTTCATGGAATACTGTTAATTAAACAAAACAGAACGAGCACTTCCTTGTTGCCACAGCGTACAAAATAATATACTTTTTCAATATCGTTCAGTTCACGGTGACAAAAAATTAAACAATGATAAATAAATTCACGTAAACAAAATAATAAATTTAAATAATTGTTTTGCTTTTAACATAATAAACTGAAATTTATAAAGTGGATCTCACAAATATAGTCACTGTTTTTTTAAGCAATTTCATATAATAAATAAGATAAAAAATGCTCTAATTTTTCTAAAAGTAAAAATATTTCTAATGGTGAAGGTCATTTCAAAAATGAATAGCAAAGCAACACATCAAAATTGAAAAATTGAGAATTTATTTATAAACTTTTTGTATAGTGTGTGAGCCCCATTTATGAAATTTTTTGTAAATTTCTACCAATTTTGTTTCATTTTAGAACTATAATTATTTGTTTTACTTCTTAATTTTACCTTTTTTTCTTAAATGCACTAAATAAATCTTAAAGACCCAAAATATGTCCATATTTTTTTTAAAAATAAGTCTTCGCAAGTAGTCGAATACCTTAAACCGAGTCAGTTCGTGCAATAGAAAATGAAATCATCACGTCCTCCGTATTTACCATCCCTTTTTTGAAGACTTGTCTGGATCGATTGCTCAGTATCATCGAAAAAATACATTTTTCCGTATGAGTAAAATTTTCCCTTAAAATAAGTTTGAAGCATTGCATTTTGTTTTTAATGACAATATTCTAAGAAAAAGGCTACATTTCTTTTAATACTGCTCTCAATTATTTCATTAAAAACTGTTAAGAATTTTCAAACAAACTTTTAAAAAATATATATTTATTAGAATATTGAAATATATATTCATTGGGAATTTTATTTCACATACTATATAATAATATACTGTTCGAATTCATTGGGATGAAACAGGTTTTTTTTTGTTTGAGTTGGTTTTGTGAGTGCCAGAGATGTACCGAACCTTCTCTGACCAGTTATATCTGCTTAGAAGTAGTGTGACGGATCGACATTACTATAATTAACTCATTTGGCCGGTTTTAGTGTATAAATAGTTCAGTTGTGAGCCTTTCAGTGTTGAAAATGGTGGCTATTATTTTGCGTTCGGTGTAACATGCATTACATTTGCTAGTTCAAAGTTGAATATCGAGGAAACGTTCAAAAATAATCACTCTTACTGAACTTACTTGTAGGACTATGAGAGATATAGTATCTATGGCAGTTAGTGTGGGCAAATCAATTGATTGAAGAATTTTAATAACATTTCAAGATTTTGGATTATCGTCTCCGAAGAGAAAATGAAATTTTGGCGCAAACTGAAAACTCCAGAAACTGATAAAATTCTAATAAGAAATAGCAAAATACATCTAAGCACACATATTGAAAAGATTGATTGGAATTATGGTGTTGAAGTGCGTGTCTCAACTGTACAGGCTACTGAAAATTGAACGTAAGACAACAAGATTAGAATGTAGGTATTCGTGCTAAAGTAGTAACTTTTCTGTCTACTTAAGGTAATATAATAATTAACAGCTAAGTTCTTAGAGAAAATCATTTTTTCCATTTGTCCCAATTAATTCGAACAGTTTAATAATTATAGGTTACAAAATGAGAAGTATATACATAAAAGAAAAAAGAAATATTTGCCTACCGGTATCATCAAATGCATGCGTCACTTCATGCGCCATGAATAATCCAGTGGAACCAAAGTTGATTGATCTGTGAAATAAAAATAATTAATTTGTATAAGTCAAAAAATAATTTTTTAAAAATTTTATTGCCATATGCGTTACTTGTGTTCTTTCACCGATAATACACTAAGAGTAAAAATGAGTTAAAAATTCTAAATTTTATTGGAGATAAGTTATTTTTTTCTGCATCTATTAAATACTGTAAATATTTGATGGCACAACACGCCAGTAATTATTTGATAAAGGAATTATCTCTTAAATTGTTCTTTTATGTATGGAAATTTTTAATTTCTATATAAAAAATGAATAAATAGTAACAAAATAATATTCAAACAGCATATATAGAAAGGACAATCGATTGTAGTGTCCCTATAGTGCAATGGATAGCACGTTGGACTTCTAATCCGAAGGCTGTTGGTTTAAGTCCTACCAGCTTAATTTCAGAGAATGTGCTTTCTTTTTTGTTAAAATTGCTAATTCTAACAATCTGTGTATTAAGAACTATGTCCCTGATCTTAGTTTTAACACAGATTCAGAAACATTCTTAGAGATCCACTTTTCAATTCATTCCTACTTTAAACTTAATCAACACTCCTCACCCATCTTAAAAGCTTTCTCTACCGCGGTTCTCGGGCCACATGCACCTAGGGGCAAAAAAGTAGATTTCGAAAGATTTGCCCAGGTTTTGTCTCAAGGAGTTGTTCTCATTCAAATTTTTTGCGATTTTCCCTGGGAAAAATAATATTTTTGATCGATATATTTTATTTTTTAACCCTTATGAATGTTCTTCATGTAATTTATTTTATAGCTTTTAAAAAGTTGTTTTTTCTGTATTTCTCTATTTGAAGATTTCTGTATACTTTCTACGATCGAGTTTCTTAGTTTCTTCCCATTGGTCAGGCTAAGCCCCGCACCAACCCACATCTAAAATTTGCTTTCTTTCTCGTTACTCTCACTGATTTTAACTTTAATATTCAAGCACATAATGCATTCTATTGTTTTCTATTTTATATATCTTTAGTATATTATTAAAAGTCTATTTTAATTTTTATAGTAATTTAATTTAACAAATGGCAAGAGTCATAACATCAGTCATTCAAAATCCAAGAGGTATGCACTCTGGTCATCCCCCCCCCCCAACGTCTAAGTCCTAATCTTTCCTGACATTTATTGAAAACATGAAAAACACAATGTAACGCACGGTATAATTTCAAGACTGAAATATAGGTTCCGCCACATTATGGATGGATTTGGAATGGAAGTTTAGCTCCGAATGATCGCTCATGGATACCCATGAGGGAGCGTCTCCCATCTCGATGTTAAATCCTGGGTTATGTAAATTTAACTAATTTTCACTTTTTTTCTCTAAATATTTACCTTGTACTAAGTGCCTCTCTTTTGTAACTGTGATATTTTATGTCATTAAATATATTAATTTACTCCGGGATTTTGTTAGTTACTTTTGATTTACTCCAGTAATGACGCAAGGAACAGTTACAATTGTGGCGCCCAACGTGGAGTCAACCCCAACTCTCTCTCTCTCACTTTTCCCCACAAGCTTAGGTGTTAAAGTGTTTGCCATCCCGACAATATTAAGAGGATCCACACCCTGCGCATGAAGGATGTTTTCATCCAGAAAACCTGTTAACAGATAAGTGTTGTATATTCTAAATAATCACATGCTCTGTTATTCTGTATAAGAACTGTGATTATTATTACTGCAGTATATATTATGTGTTAAAGAATAGCAACATAATTGAATTTTAAGTTGATATTCATATGTCAGCTTTAATAATCTAAAACAAGGGAATTGGCCATCTCGATCGAAGGGAATTAGATGGCCGATTCCCTTGCCAATGAAGCCAGAGCACTTGAATCTGCAACTTCATCTACTACGGTCTTTGATGCCAACGCAGCCACAAAACAAAGGCTCTGCTGAAATCCAAGAAAAAAATTCTAGCTGCCAGAATTAAATTTTAGCCAAGAAATTACAACAGCAATAACTAGACTAAGGATAAAACATTTTAAGGACATGAAAATTCTATCCGATGGTTCCAGATGCTATGTGGAATGCAGGCACTGCCCATTCACGCAACTGGATTCCAAACACCTTTTTAGCTGTCCTTCCATTGGTGGTGCCCTTTTTAAAATAGACAATGATTGCAGCATGGACATCCTATACCCAGATCGTGCCATGGCCTTTGGTATTCACGTCTTTTGGCAATGCTTGACTATATCTTTGTTTTGTTATATACACCTTTGCACTCTGTCCTACACGACAACAACAATAATCTAAATGCTTTTGAAAACGAAATTTGCATTCTATTGGTTTTTCTGATTAAAGACAATTGAAGGTTAATTATTTATGAATGCATATTTTCTCTCTTCCTAGTTAAGAATTTTATGCCTTTAATTTTGTTTTCAAGAAATTATTGTGATTGGTATTTAGTCAAATAATTTCACTTTGATTCTTGTTTAATTACTAAACTTTTAATTAAGTTTTATTAATTTCTTTTTCTTTTTATGTCTAACATAAAAATAATCCTTTTGTGAAGTATATGATTGATTTTGCGAAGTATTTTTTACTAAAACATTTGAAACCTTGTATATTATTGATAAAGTATATACATTTCTGTTTTTTATTTAAAATTTTGGGAAAATAATTTCAAATACTTGTACTAAGTGTAAACAAGTTTATAATATTGATAACTTCAGTGTGAATAAATTAAATTATGAATGGTATTTCTATTTAAACATATTTGAATTGCTTTTGATTAAATGATTTCATGTTAACTGTTGATACTCATTTTGATAATTATGAATATTATATAAATATTATTTTGGTTTTTGTACGAAATTAAAAGATAGTTGATATTGAAGAATTTGTTTAATTTTAATATTAATATTTATTAATATTTATTTGCAAATTAATTATCACATTTTGAAATTAGAGAATTTTTTTTGTTCTTCAGTAAGAGTTCATTATAGTATAGAGTATTTTTTATAAGTAACAGAAATTTTTAAATGCATAAGTATTGTTTGAATATAATATTTCCAGATCACTAACTTTAATTGAACGTTAGAAATTAACTTTGAAATAGACTAAAAAATGACGAAAAATGACTTTTTTTGGAAGGTTTAGAAAGGATTATTTAAGGATGTTGGCCACAGAATTGGGTCTAGCTCCATCGGATAATCTCAAAATTATTGATCTAAAAGATCTCATAACCAAAAGTGATAGATATGATGAGTAATTCATCAAAATGTGCTCAACGCCATTGTGAGAGAACGTACAACAACAGAAAAATAAAAAGCTACGGAACTGGAGGAGAAACAGAAAGCTGTGATTGTAGCCCACCAACGAGAAAGAGAATTAGAGCTAGAAAAATTGAAAAATCAACTTGAAATGCAGAAGCTGTCACAGGCACTTGTTGTAAGCCAACAGATAGAAAACCCGAAACTCGAGTTGAATAGAATTATTCCGAGATTAAACTCGAAGGAAGATGAAATGGGTCTATCCTTGACCATTTTCGAACGTCAAGCGAAGTTCTTGAACATCCCTGAAAAAACTTGGACAGCATACCTGATTGGATCATTGCCACCTGAAATAGCTCAGTAAAGATGATACTCAAAAATTATACGAAAAGGTAAAAGGAATGCTTCTCAAAAGATTTCAAGTTATATGGGATAGGTTTAGGCAGTCATTTTTCGCAGCAGAGAAAAACCCGGATTTAACATAGCGAGACTTTTATTTCAAATTAAATTCCTATCTTGAAGGTTGGATCAAAGAATTAAAGATAACTACGTTTGATTAACTTAAAAATAATAATTAATAAACAAATAAAAAGAAAAATTCCAGGAAATATCAAAGAACACTTTCTAGATATGTGGTCGGATTTGAACAATCTCTTGGAAATGGCTGAGAAATTGGGGGCATATGACTGATTAAGGCCTGGAATGAAAAATAATCGAAATCAGACTTTCAAGAAGAAAGAAGAAATCAGGAAACAGTTTTCAATTAGGAAATTGAACTTTCTGGAGAATCCCATGATAACCACTCACCAGGATCCTCTAGAACAGTACTTAGACTCCCAATTTCTAGAACTGAAGAAAGAAAGCATATACAGTGTTGCGGATGGGGGACTTATAGAGTCGTCAAGTCAAAGTGTCCTACCTGCACGAGAGCTAATGAAATGAAAACAGGAGTGAACTATATGATGTTATTCAACTTGAATTCAAACTTGTATCCCTCAAGTGTGATTGTTCTCAAAAATTTTGCAGAAAAGATTACTGTATGTGCTGATACCGGTGCTTGCCATACCATTTCAGGTGAAAAAAGCTGCTTAAATTCCTACAAGAGCACGATTTAATATTTACGAACAAGATGGTTTCATTTAAGATGTGGCTGATGGAATTTGGCAGACTATTACGGATCTGAGTACTGTCGTTAACCTGAACATTGAAGGCAAAGTTACTCCAACAGAATTTCTAGTAATGCCTGAAGCAAAAGTAAATAAGATTTTGTTAGGACTGGACTTCTTCAATTCAGCAAGAATCACCCTTGACGTCCATGGTAAAAAATGACATTTTTCCAAAATTCCTCTTAAAAAGTACAAGTTCTTCAAGAAGATCTTGGAAGATATAACCATCAGCGTATTCAAACTTCAAGAAGACGAGGGTAAACATCTTGGCCGTTCTATCTCCAGAACAGGCAACAAAAAAAAAAACTCCTGGGCAAAAATAAGCCATGTTTCCGACCAGGGAGAGCACCCACGCCGTTTATTGAACACCGTATTGGCACCTGTGATCTCCTGCCAGTAGCAGCGTCTCCCGTACGGATGAATCTAATAAAGAAAGATATTTTTAAGAAATAGATTGAAGAGCTGCTGAGGCAGAATATAATCGAAGAGTGCGAGTCTTTATACACCAGCCCTGTGGTACTTTTTCCTAAACCAAAAGGGAAAGTACTTCTCTGCGACGACTACAGGAATTTGAATTATGTTATGAAAATAGATACCTACTCTTTTCCACGAATGGATGTTCTATTGAATGAAGCACAACACCGACATGTCTACAATTGATTTACAATCGGGCTACCATCAAGTAAAGATTGCTGATGTTGACCAGGACAAAACTGCCTTCATTTGTCCTTTTGAAACCTACCGCTATTTACGTATGCCCTTCGGTCTACAGAATGCTCCGACCACCTTTAAAAGATTAATTGACAAGTTTCGAAGTGGCTAGAAAGATGTTTTCACCCTTTCTTACCTAGATGACATCATCGTCCTCTCAGTAAGATTTGACAAACATCTGGAAGATATCGAAACAGTTTTTTGAAAGACTATCTATCTTTAAACTTCATGCAAACCGAGATAAATGTCGCTTTGCCTGTGACCAAGTGAAATATCTGAGATTCTGGATAACGAAGGATGGAATTG